ATCCACATCTTCAATTTGTTGTACTTCTGCTTCACTCAATCCAAGACCTTCAATTTGTTGTAATTCTGCTTCATTGAGTCCAAGACAGTCCATGATCTCTTCTGTAGTGTATAAAGATTTCCTTAGGTTGTCAATTGTTAAGCTTATATGATTGTGAAAATCTGGACTTACATCATTTTCACTCTCAACATTTGGAATGGCAACAAGTTCAGGCTCACATTTAGGAAACTCAGAAGTACCCTCCCCAGAGATGGGCACCATGACAATCAACCAGGATAAACACCTTCCTTTTATTTTTTGTTCTTGGCTCCATCCTTGCCACCAAATAACCAGGTTTCAATAAATTCGGCAACAAGGTCAAGGAAAATAGTTTGGCCAAATCTCTGATATATGCTAGGGAATTGTTATGTTTAGAGCATCTCCTATCCACTCCCATTCTCCATTATTTCCCTCATTTCTTCCCCTATTCCTCTCCAACCCAGTCCATATATTCCCCCATTTTGGGGTAAATGAATAGTATAACACCATATTTGGTGTTATACTATTCATTTCCCCCAAAATGGGGAGGAACTTTGAGTTGTCAGTTTTACTCCATCGTTTTATATATTTATACATTTCTGGTTTTTATCTACTAATTATTAATTAAATGTAATATTTAATACTTATAATATTGTGTTATATATTAAATTATATTAATTAATTATAAATATAAAGTTTGTTTTTTGTTTAACAAATTCATATTAAAATTTAAATACATATTTGAAATTTTAAAACATAATAGCGTATTTTACAAAAACTTATAATTATGTATTATAAATATAATCTTATTTATTTAATATTATTGTAATGAAAATATAGATTATATATTTGTTAAACCCAAATTAATAGAAGGGGTGTGTTTGACAATTTATATAAGTTAGAAGAATTGAATATATTTTTTGGGGGTAAAAATAGGGTAAAAATAAAGTAGGGTTGGAGATGAAAAACTATATAAAAGGAGGTGGGCCCACTTCCATTTCTATTTTAGTGAAAAAAAAATTCAAAAATAATAATTGATATTTTATAACAAGAAAATAAATGAAAAAAGAAACTGACAAGGGAAATATAGTGATTTCATGTTGGCAACGAGATAACGTGTAAAACTTTAAACAAATTCTAGATGATTCGAGTTAATTTTTGAAAATACAGACAAAACGTGACTTTTAGTATCCGTATAAATAACGATTTGCGTAATTAACTAAAATATGAAATACACTCATGTGAGGCGCATGTGGGTGAGAAAATGAAGGATGATTAACCATTGTTAATTTTGGGGACAAATTCCAAAATGAAACTTTGTAATAAGAACATTTTTTGGAAGTTGAAACTATTTTGAACTATTATCAAACAAAAATACAAATCACATAGACCATTTTTGAAATTTTTTCTCTATTTATTATCTAAGTCCTAAGTTGTAATTTACTACTTCTGTTGCATTCCTTATTAGATACATTTTTTTTGGTTGTGGAAGTCCGTCCGAAATGATTTTAGCTGACATTTTGTCCTTCGATGATGGCTCTTTTTCTAGTAGTGTTACCAATTATAAGAGACTGAAAAATGACTCTCCCTTACAAAAAGTTTAACAATGATCGATATTTAAAAAAATTAATGTTTCATCAATATCTTATATAGTCCGGAATTAATCTTTACTCCAAATTAAGTTTGGGAAATTGCTAGAAAATCTCAATATTTTCGGAAAAGTTACGGTTAAGTCCTAAAAAACAATTTTGAATATAAAGTCCCGATTATTTGATTTTACATTATAATAAGACATTTCCTGTTAAAAAAAAGAAATGACTTTTTTGTTAATTTGAGCCCAAAAAGAAATAATCCACACTTTTATGTTAAAAAAAATTGGGACTTAATCGTAACTTTTCTGAATATATTGAGACTTTTCTAGCAATTTCTCATTAAGCTTTTATGAAACATTATTTCTAACCTACACCTAAAACATATGCGATACAAATTTCTCTTAACAACGCCCAAAAAATCAAGTTCAAAAGATCATCGTTATTCTCATCCTATTCAATTTGCACGATTCTAATACACACATTATATATATGTATCTATGTGTGTTTATATTCAATGTTCTGGAATTCCCGAAAGGTTCCCAGAATCCCAGTTTCTTTTGGTTTTATACTTTCAGTATTCTTGTTCTACGTTGATCCAACGTAATGAGATATTCTTCCTTTCTGTGCCTCCGTTGGTAACTTGACGTTCGTTGCTAATCCAAGCAGCTGAAGAAACTTGATCAACACCCACGTCGGGTCAAATTGCCACCATTCCAATCCATGTCGAGCAGATCTCGGGAAAGCGTGGTGATTGTTATGCCAACCCTCTCCAAGTGTCAACACTGCCACCCACCTGTTTTAAATACCATATCATGTACGTTATATATATTTTATCTCAATTATTATTCAGTGAATACATCCGCAGCCTATTAATATATATGCTGAAGTGTTGCGCATGGGCAAACATACCATTTATTGGTGGAAGTATCCGGGGTGTTCCACGGCCTCTCCCCCCATTTATGGCTGACATAGCTTGCTAGTGCTGCAAAATGGTGAATCACCACTGCTCGCATGCCCTGCATGGATTAAGCATGATTCTCTTCACATAATTAACTAATTAACATATCGATTATATACATACCATTGCCCAAGCCAAGTAAGGAAAACCTCCCTGGAGATATAGTAGGGCTGCAAGTGCAGTTGGATGCCAAAAGTAAGTATCATGAAGAAACCTATAAAACCACTGTGCTTTTAGTTCTGGTACTTTCGAGTATTCTCCACCCCTTGATTCTCCACACTATTTAATTTGATCAATTCAATATACCAAAGGTGGTTACGAGATTAAGTAAAGATAATATGAAATGAAAGTGTATATATATGTAAGGCATTGTGTAGTCACCTTCATAGCAATGTGGTCATTGTTGAAAAGCCAACCCATATTACAAAACCAAAAACCGTCAGTTGGGGTAACAGGATCCCTATTCGTATCAGTATACTTGTGGTGGTTCTTGTGAGTGTTCACATAAAACATTGGATCTCTCTGTAATTTTATAAGTTAGAGAAAATCAATAAGCAAGATCCGACAACTATAGAAGATATAGATAATAGAAGTAACGATGTATGTTATACATGCACATAGGCACGATATACCTGGAAAGCGTGAGCACCACAATAAACGAAGAAATACTCGAGCCATTTTGGGATCTTGAAACTACGGTGACAAAGAAGTCTATGATAACCTAGAGTCATACCAAAGGCGCTCAATAAAGCAAAGCCCACAGATAATCTGATTGCACCCCGATCAAACACGAAAGGTGCGCATGCAGCCAACACATGAATCCCGGTAAACCAGCAAATGCTAGACACGTCTTCCAAATCCCATTTCCGGAACCAAAACCATCCCTTCTGCTTCCTCTCGAACTCCAAGGTTGTCACAGCTAGTGCCCTCGTTGCTGCCATAGTCTTGTTTTTGATAAGCTACGTATAGTCGGAAGGGATAAGGCATATGCACGTATATGGACGTATTAATGTGCCCCATTATATATAATATAAAGTGGCATGGAATTATGGATAGATCTCCGGTGGGTTTTTTTTTTCTTTTTTTTTTCTCTTTTTTTTTCGGGGGTGGAGTTATCGTGGAATAGTTTATTCGAATTGCTATGTATTGGAATCTGTATAAGAGTTTTTATTCCCATGGTCCATATGTATACACGTATCAAAGTATTAATAGCGGCGACCTAAGGAAGAGAAATACTACTGTAATAGGGGAATTCTACTCGTGTGCCTCATTATCTATCTGGCACTAAGATGGATTATAGGGGACGTCTCAGGTTCAAATTTTGGGGTTTCAATCAGAATAATCTGGTGACGACCACACGGTTTGGAATAGCTATTTAGCATTATCGTCTAAGGCTAGCCTCTCTTCAAACCTCGTAATAATTTCGGAGTTTTAGTTTGCGGACAAATGATTTTCAAAATTGAACTCTTAAAGAGTTCAAATTGATAACGGTCCCAATGAAAGTTTTTCAAATAACTTTCAAAATATTTAGTGGTTTAATAACAATTCAATAGATATCAAAATAAGATTTAAGAGAATGTTACAAACCAAAAGTTTTTTAAATATCCAAAACTTATAAGTCTACTAAGTTTCTGACAATATCTACTAATCAATAACAATTTATTAACAAGTGGGTTAGGCTATGGGAAGCCTAGTGAGTACGACCTCGGGGTTAACCATTATGGACGGTGTATGAATGACCATTATGGTTGATACACCAATGTAGCATTTTAAAACAACAAAATCAACATCAAAAGTCAACTTAAGGGTAAAATATTATACTAGTCAAAGAACATTGTCATTTATGACAAATCTCTAATAACTTCACAAGTGAATAAACAATACAAGGTAAATATACCTTAAATATATGCTTCTCAATAATCAAAATTCAAACAAGATCATATAGATCCAATAATACTCATGCGAGTTACAAAACGACGATAATCCGATCAATAAACAAGTGTACAAAACTTGACACTTATATATATATATATATATATATTCAAGAAGAACAATCCAAATGGATAATGAAATGCATGCAACTATCGCAACCTATGTGAATATCGAAGTCTAACTCACAACAATTATCGGACATGAAGAACTCATGACAGACAGCCAACTTTTGCACTAAAATCCGACAAGAAAATAATGATGGTCGGGTGTGAAGAACGCATGACAAACAAAATTGCCGAATCACCCTTACACCCACAACAAACTAGACACTAGGATCATCTAACCTAGACCACACGAGGGGTAGCGAGCCTCTACTCGCATACATAAGGATTATCTAGAAATCAACTCATAAACAAACAAAATATATGTCCAATTGGGTACCCGGGACCACAAAGTCATACCTATCATTGCATGATATGCACATATTGATGCTCAAATAATTTTCAAAAAATAAAGCCTTTTCTTTTGAATATCAAAACATTTCCAAAATTATATTTCATGAATGCACAATTAATTCCCATACGGGCAACTAGCAACCAAGTATATGTTAGATAGTTTCTAAAACACAAAATCAACAATAAGGGATATTTCACAAGAAAAACCAAAAGGACAATTATGTCCATATTACTAAAGAATAAGTGTACCCCCCCCCCCCCCACACACACACATACAAATAAATCAATTTCTCAAAACATGTCCTTAATTCAAAAGGACTTCCCTAGATAATAAACTATCATAACGAGAAAACAAAACATGTATTTTCAAGTAATATACATATGTATAACATAACACAAATGGGAAAACACAAGTAGAATATTTATTTTTGGGAAAACTGTTCCAAGGTAAGTGTACTCACCTTAAGTCCTAACCTGACAATCACCAAAGATCTTCTAATCTCAAGCTATGGTACTTCTAGCTCTAAACATCCAAAAGCAATCACCTAGTATCATTACAAGGTGTTAAATGACCGAAATACCTTTATATGGGTCAACTTAACATTCTAAACTCAAAATACTCTAAAATGATCTAAGGGGAATCTAGAATCAACACAAAAGATCACAATCTTACAAATAGAACAAACAAGATTTCAAGCTTCATCTCTCATTTAGCCAATCAACTTCCAATAACACTCCAAAACAATTCAAATGACTCAAGGACAATATCATGGGTTAAAACACTTCCAAAGAAGATACGAAAGGATCGCCAGTTGGTTCATATCCTTGATAGCACCTTAAAACGTCTACATTTTATAAAAATCATTTTAATTGTCAAAGAGGATAAAAACTCAAAAGTTGAAGGAGTTGCTTTGAAAGGACAATTCCTTTGACTCCATACTTATAATAAACATAGCAAAACCCTTTCATGAGGAAATAAGGATATTACGAAAGCTTTAAACTTGAAATATAACTTAATACCAAAACACAGTATTTCAATGAACATTTACAATTCTTCAGAACACTAGTTGTGACAGCAAATAAGCTTATTAATTCCAAATTCCTCAAAGAATTATTGAATATTAAAACTAGACAACAGGATACGTTTAAAGTAGGAATCCAAGATTGGAACACGGTTCCATAATCAATAGAGTTGAAATCCCAAATCGAAGTAAAGTTCCATTTAATATTTCAAAATCTCACCATGAGACAAGGATTTACAATGGATCATAGATTGGAATGGAATCACATAATCTAACATAATATCAAACTTAAATCATTGTTTGAAATCATAAATCTTAATCTAGAATAGTTTGGGTTTGGAAATACTCATTTTATTACATGGAAGCCAAACTTGAATCGAACTCTACAAATCTCACCGTTAGCTATGAATTAACAACTGGATCATGGATTTGAAAGGACATGGATAAGCAATCTAATCACAAATCCAAGCTCATATCATTGATTGGAATCAATAGCTTGAATCAATAAATCCTTGAAACGAAAATACCCAAATTACCACCACGGGAACTAAGATTTAATTCAAACATCATGGAATCTCACCATAAGCCAAAAGGTTGACAAATAGATCATTGATTGAAGGAAAATGTACCTTCTAACCATAAGCTCAAGCTCATATCATTGCTTGATGCTTCAAATTTGAATTTGAAGATCTAGGGTTTTAGAAACCCACCAAATCATATTTAAGCTCACAAATCTCCCAACTATTTGTTAGTTGGAGTTTGTAGATAGATGAACGAGTGAAAATACATCAACAATTTCACAATAATCACACAATTTAAGAATAAAGTCGGATTTCAACATTGATGGTTAAGAAAAATCATCAAAACAACTCTAATCTCACAAATCTCATAACCATTTGTTGGTTGGAACATCATAAATTAAGCATGAAATTCAGATTTATCATCTTATCAAAATCCTAATTCGAGTTTAGGGGAAAGAGGAAGAAGACTACCTTTTTCATGTATGTTTTCTCCTTTGAAAACTCACTTACTATATATATTCACAATATATCGAGGAAGATTAATCACTCCCATACTTGATAATCATACATGAATGCATCTCTATGCGTTTCATTAGTTTCTGATCAACTATTAAGCAGATTCAACAACAACTGAAAACTTGTTAGTTCCAAACTATGATGCATTTACCTTATTTTTTAGCTCTTAAAGTTCCATATTGCTCTCACTTAGAAAAATAATTTACTAAGAATATGTCTTCTGGAATGACAATGTAACGCCCGTGTTTCTAGGCTAGACATTAATGATGATGTAATAGTCTAGGCCAACCTTTGTAACTTGTTTTAAAATAATAAAATGTATTATTTGATTATTATGTGTTTTATGCTTAATTATTATAATTTAATGAATTAAGGATAAAAATAAGCGTCAAAAATAAATGTTAGATAAACCCGATATCTATGAAGAAAGTTGTAGTGATTGAAACAAGGATTCTGGAGATATAAAGAATACTGGAATCTGAGTTATAATAAAGAAGTTATGACCTGTCGAAGTTTCGCGACAGAACCGGCATGGCGTTGTGTGACGTAAAAAGTGAATTTACGATAAAGTGCTTTTTAACATTAATGATCTAAATGAAAGTCGTAGTGTTCGTTAAACCGAGAGCGTGCATAAAAAGAACGCCCAAATCTGACTTCGTATGAGGAAGTTATGATTTTTCTAAGTTTCAACTTAGCAGTATGCAGCCCGAAACTCGAATTTTAGATCGAGTGAATTTTAGCCGAAACAACCTAAACGAGAATCAAAGATGTTGTTGATAGTATTTCAACGGTAAAAAGACAGACGAAAACGGACGTTGGATGAAGAAGTTATGAATTTTTAACGGACTTTTCTTGTCCCGGCCTGTTAAAAATATAACTTTAAAATTAAAATCAAAATTAGCCGATGGAGTCTAAACAAAAGTTGTAGAGCACGGTCTCACCTACGCGTGGATATAAAGAACGTCAAAAACGGAGCTCGTATGCGAAAGTTACGAATTTTTGAAGTTTGAAAATTCGGAGTACGCCCAGCGTACTCGTGTAAGTGTTCCGGAGTCCGTCACCCTCCCTACTCCTTCGCATGAGAGCCATGTGTCGTAGGCTTGACGCGTCTGATATGATCCCTTAGTATGCCCAGCATACTCGATGTACGCCCAACGTACTGGCTGAAGAAGGAGTACACCCAACGTACTCTAAAGTTACGCCCAACGTAACTCGAGTTTTCAGCCCCTATAAATAGCGGACGATGCCAGCCGATTTTGGGTTACAAAATTTCAATCTCTCACCCTATACTTTCTTAAATGTTGCAATAAATACCCCCAAGCCTAGTATATTATCCTAGCATCGTAAGCAAGCCCCGGAGAGCCCGAAGATCCCAAGAAAAAGAAATTTCGAGCCGAAACTCTGTCCGCGTGAAGCCCGGTTTTTGGGAAAACATCCCGGTTTTATCAGAAACGATCGTTTAAAGAAATAAAGTGATGCCCGATTATCGTTAAATAAGGTGATTGTCTAGTCACTTTCATCTTACACATAGATATAAAGTATTTTCTATAGAATACGTGCTATGTG